TTTTCTCCCTTCTCTCGATTTCAGGGTAGACTCAGGCTGCCACCCTGACATATTAGAATTACCTCATTGTCAAAAAGTCTTTGTGGTTGTATCAAGCATTATTTTATTTTTATTTAGAGAACAAAAATAAACGTTAATCCACTTTTCCACATAATTTGACTTCTATAAGTGAAAGATGTCCTAAATTTTTAAGCAATAAATGAGGATATCCCATGGAATGAGAAAAATGTACCCCTTAAGTGAAAAATGGTTGTCGCGCCGAATCGCTGTCCCACTCATCTCGACCGACTTTTGTGTTAGCAGTCACACCCAATTGGCCGATCTGAGCTTGGTTGACTCCTGCAAACAAAACGATTATATAAGTCACAATGAAATCCCAAGGCACTCATCCGCTGTTTCCTCGGTAACAATGCAAGGCAAAGCCCTAGACACTACACGCAGATGATGAAATCTTTATGTCTCATGTGAATGCATCCAAAGGTTGTCATATCCCTCTCGTCCTATCTCACTTTATCCCTTTTTTTGATTAAAACTTATGGCAAAACCTCTTCAAACTTCCATCTTAGGACTATGCATATCGGAGCATGAAATGCAGGTTAGTTTAAAATTGGAAAATGGGATTTATTGGATGTGATTTTACTGCCTCGAATGGACATGTTTCCTGTGAACTTGGCGTGGTCATTCTATTTCAACCAACTCAATCATCTGTGCACTTTGTTTTGGGCGAACAAAATGCAATGGCAAATGCGCCTAAAATCTCTGCGCCTTTTAGGTACTCCAGCTGAGTAATGCCAAACGGAGGAGTATCTTCCCCATTTCATTGAGACTGAGCCCCCAGAAGAGGTGACAGGCGAGTCTGATTTCTAAGCACTGGCTTTGTTTACACCATTCCATATGCTATCATCATAACCACCATCGTTTGCCTCTACTCTTTAGGAGATCTACTACCACATTAGCAATTTTTTGAGAAACTGGACTATCATTCCAACGGTTTGAATAGATTTTTTTAACCACTATCACGGTCACGACAAGCGGACGAGGAATTCATTGAACTTACTTCAAAGGCGGCCTAGGGTTGGCTGTTCATTGAAAGAGTGCCAAGTCACCTGAAGGCGAGGAAGATGAGGTGCATTCTGGGAGGAGATTTGCTTGGGCTGTGCGGTCTTCCAAAATCCCACCAATTCATTGTCTCTTTTTCTTCCTATGACGCCGGGAAGGGTGCCGCTATTGCCGTCAGTTCGCTTTGCGACCTAGGAGCGGTTTAGCCCTTGTGTTGCATGCAACAGATGCCATTGGTCAGATACTTGGAGGTTCCCACACAAAACTATTTTCTTCCATCTACATCATCTTTAATATTGTGCTTCTGAAAGACAAGTTTTAGCTGTCAAGCCCTCCATTAAGCCCACTCTTAACTCTCTGGTCAGACTCTATTTGATAGACATCATTGCATATCCCTATGAATATGGACCAAATTAGAGGTGGTAAACTGCCATCTGTCGAGTCATAACATGGTTTCCTTGAAGAGATCCAGACCTGGTGGTGATGAAACGACAGGTAAAGTGTTACGTTTCGAGATTTTGTGCAATACGCATTGCTTTGAGGTAGCCTTTGAATTAATTAAAAAACAGTTTCTCATCATTAGTATGTCAAACCGGGTACATAAGAGTTAGTAATTTGCCATGGTGTTTGATATTGAGTTATGTGACATGCTGTGGGTTGTGTCCAAAGGCACACGAGTCGGAGAGGTGTCGTGGGGCAAAGCGACAGGTTTTATATCCCTTAGGAATGATTCCAGACATGTATTTCTGAGTTGTGACAGGATCACTGTTTCCCTGTTCCATCTCCGCTCTCGCACCGGCAGAATGCGAGTTCGTTTCCTCCTCAGAGACCATTGGTGTCAGCTAAGTCAGGAGTTTCGTGTATACTGAATGTTTCTCCCTTCAAAGGTTGATGTTAGTCAAACATGTGCTACCTAGCCCCCTCGTCTTTTTGTGCATCGCCTTTAGTGCTCCTCTTATGGGTAGTATCCACCTTCGCTGATTTTGGTGGTCCTCATTCTTCCTTTAGTGCGTAGACTTCATCCTCATATTCAACCGATACACCTCCAGGCGAACACTGTTATGATAAACAATGATAAAATTAGGTACAGAGGTGTGTACTGAAGACCAGATTGTTTGACTAAGCAAGAATAAGTGCCCGCGAAGTCAAAACGAAGAGTTAAACAAATGCTCAAAGTATTACCTAGCCCCTTCTCCCGGCCCTCACCTTAGTCATTCTCCCGTATCAGCCATCACAACGTAGATGGTGCCGTAAGAAAGCATTCCCGATTCATCCTCATCAGGAATAGTCAGTGTGTAACTGAGATGATATCTGACTGCAGCTTTGCTTCTGATTGTTAGCCAGATGCAATCTCAACCACACAAGAGAAGAAAGACATCGGAATGGACTGTGAAGTTGCACTACCTTGAGTTGGGGCATAGCTTGGCGAGATGCCGTCATGGAGTACTGGAATGCATGAGGCATTACAACTCCAGTCGATCCACGTCTTCTCAAATGACACTGGGATAAAGACATCATTAGCACAAAACTGATGAACGAGTAGAAAATTAAAGGGAGCACAAACTGCAAATGTTTTCACATTATTGAGGTGTGAGGCGAACAAGGCAGTGTGGTGAAGGAATTAAGCTCCTTACTATAAAAAAATTTAACATGAAGATATGAGCATCTCAACCACCCCTCATGGAAACATAGTGACACGACTTCCTATTGCGATTGAATGTGTGTCGCTCTCACTTCCACTTGCATCTCTGCAACAAATTTAGACAAAGTTCCTACTTAGGGACTGAATCACCCCCACATTTTCGTTGAAATTTCTATGTAAATTGTCTATTAACCAGTAACAAACTAATTTGGGAACAAACTTGACAAATACTCCGTTATAGACGGTATCGCCACCTGTATTAAAGTGGAATTTCTGATTTCGCGGGTGGTTTGGATCCTATCGAGCGATGGATAAAAACTTCAAAGAAGAAGACGACTAGGGAAGCGTTGAGAGGCGAAGCGCTGTAAAGCAAAGCAGGCATTCGCGCGCACCTTAATTAGGCTGCCAATATCGTGTGACTCATCGACTGGGCGCATTTTAAATTATTGATTGATTAATTAAGCTGTCCGCCCGTCTTCTTCGCTCTCGTGGGCTAAAACTCACTTGAATAGAGAGATGAACTGAGTGTAGGGCTTTTATTTGTCTCATTTAGGAAGATGTTCTCCTTTTGCGTGCAAACAAACAAGGGAAGTTTGGATCACGGATCTCACACATGAGTCAAAACGGTGAATGGAGAGAGTGCGAGAGTTTTGCTGGTTCGACATTCACCGATTCGTTATGAACATGGAACTTCTGGAAGGTTAACGCTACCGCATTATATTGTCACTATGCCCGTTTATTACTACTTTTGTTCATTTAATAAAGCTTGTGCATCCAACGGTCCCTACTATTGTAAATAAATGTCACTTTGCAATCCCATCTTCCTCTTTCTTTGTTCATTCTGTGGCCGAGTCAATTAGATATTTACTTTGCTGGCCATCTAAAAGCGCTTTGTGTATTTAAGAAAGCAAAATAAAATTAATGTGCAGTAGCATAACATTATATTACTTATTCGATCCTACCTAGACTGACATGGATCCTTCAGCTTTGAACATAAATTCACTACAACAGGAAGAACAGGAGGGTGAAAATGGTAAGGCTCAGGTCTACATGAATTACTACATTATCCAGATATTTTTCATCAGATTTAATCACTTTTTTCCATCATTCTATCCTTCTTTAGCCTTTGGAGAATCATCATGTTTACCGTACCAACTTCTTTTTTAGCCTATCGTGCAGTACTGCTGAGACAATTAACAGGTAATTTGGGTTTTTTTCAATGGCTGTCTCAGTAACCTTATTATTACTTCTACTGCAATATTTTTATTTTCCTGTGCATAGTTATTAAAATATGCATCTCTTATTTAGTTTCCTATGATACCACCAAGGTTATGTGACTGCGCGTAAATTTTCACTCCCTTATTTTAAACTTTCACAGATTTATTCGGACGGCCGTTAACATCACAAGGTAATGAGGATATGTTTGTCTCCAACCCCGAACATGTAATCAAGAAAATGCCAAAGTCCGTCTTACTGGCTATAAGCAATTTCATCTCTGAGTTGCCAGTGAATCAAATAAATGTGCCAGCGTTAGTGAATTTGCCGGTTCACCTATATCGTAATAAGAAGGACTTTATGGCTACCCTGCTTTTTGTATCTGTAAGGGCTCTGGTATACGACTACGGTTGCCTTTTCAATTATGATTGTTCAAAACTATCTTATTTTTTTGTAGACTTTAAGTTGGGAATGGGAGCTAGATGCAGCACATATGGGTGCATATAACTCAGACTACCTTGTCCGGAGCGGTATCCATGCCAACACTCGCGTCATGCTTGTTGAATGGATGAAAAGGGTATAATCGTGATAGAACTATAATGTCAGTAACATGACTAGCAATGAATCAATGGCCATGTGGTTTTTCTTCACAAGGTACTCTGGTGGTTGCAAATGCCAACGCGAACTTTGCATGTAGCCGTAGGTCTAGTGGATCTGTACACCTGGCTTCATCCGATACTGCTTCAAGAATACCAGCTCTTGGCTTTGGCGGCGATAGCTTTGGCAATACGTTTTAGATCACCTGATTTCAGAGTCATTTATTATCTCTTGAGTGGTATTGCTGCTTCTACATATACTCAGCTACAGGTTAGCTGCTTATGCTAATTACACTTTGAAAATTGACCTGAATTTGCTCTGTCTTGCTTTGATCCTTTTAGATAGCCAGAATGGAAGCAATATTGACAGACTGCGTTGGAAGAAGGATTAACTTCCCCACTCCCTACAGATTCCTCGACATCTACTTATTTAGTCTCACAGATTTGCCTAAATCTACGCAGGAATGGGTATTTCCAGTTTAATCCTTAAAAGCCTTCAACAGATTAGCTTCGATATTGCTCACAAATTTTCTTCTGTCTTCAGGCTAGAAAAGCTTCCGATTATATTTTAGATTTGGGTCTAAATGCGGAGGCACTCTGTCAATATTCTGCAAGCCTGCGTTGCGCTGCAGTGCTTTTACTCCTTCGTTTTATCCTACAGCGGCATTGTGATTGTTCGCATTCGGATCCGGGTGTGGGAGATGCGTGTCCCTTTGACGATATGCCTCTATGGCCGGATAAAATGGTGAAATTTACGGGTTATGGAGACGGCCCACTCCTACGAAAAGTTGCTTTAGTCTACGCAGTAGTTCTATTCGTAACTCAAGCAACATGCATTCCTTTTTATTTGGCCCATCACATGGATACACCAGACTCGGTATGACAGGTGAACCCGTTCTAAAAAGTAATCCAAATTTTGCATCGCTTGCTGCGTTTACTTACATATGGTTTTATCTGGTAAAACTTAATCAAGTTCAGTGTAGATTTTGCAGTTTATGTTTTTATTGTGCTTTCATGTGTGCAGAGCACGTTCAACAAGTATGTAAAGCCGGAATACGAAGAAATTGCACTGGATGAAAAACTTCGTAGTTTGGTACAAGAAGATTTGGCTGCAATTACTGAAGTGGAATTAGACTAGGCATTCGAGAGGCGGTGATTGTGATTCGTCAAACCGTCTTACATCCGTAAATTGCAGTGTTAGTTTGCGTTGTTGCAGTCAAAGAGAGAGGGATGGCCTCTCCTCTTCTGTAACGCTTATTTTTCTCAACTAAATATTGAGTTGATTACTCCTCCTTGTTTTACGTTTAAAGGACTTTTGGAGATACAAAAATGGACACTTATAAACCCACTTAACGGTCAAAGCGAACTTTTTTCTCTCCATCAGGAAGACCTTTTCAGCTGATGTCTCACAGCATTCGATGGGAAAAAAAATTAACATCAGCTTAGCGTTTACTGAGGAAGAAAGGTACCAAATGGAAGAATCTGTGCATATGTCCGGGCAGGGGTATAACGTGGCCGGAAATCGGTGCATGTGGGTAGTCACATGATATCCGCCTCGAACTCACACCCAATTGACGTTAACGCACCCACTTGTATGTCCATTCCATTTTAGGCCATAATTGGCCACCGCAATTCCAAGGTTTGCGGCATTTTGTAGGGAAGCCATTGACTCATGGGCTAAAAACTTTTTGGATTTGCATTAGGGTTTTGTCAATTGTAACTTCTGTGATTATTTAGTTAACCACAGAGTTAAACATACAATCAACAGACAAATTGCGGCATGAAATGGTAAACAAAGAACATCGCAAGAACAAAAAGAACACAAAATTGTTCCACCAATACCACCAAAATCACATATTAAGAAGTCAAACTTAAATTAATCATTGAATGTTACTGAGGTGTAAGTACTTTGGCGTTTGAGACACTTGTCGCCCGATTTGCTCGAAGCTTACACCTGGATTCCAGGCGGGCGTTCTACCAGAACCGTTTGGATTCCTTTGTTCTGGTCAGTGAAATGGCGCTGTGCTGTTGGCGCAGCGGCTTTTGCAGTAGGATGGGGAGCTACAAGACTGAAGTGCCCCTATCCATGGTGAGATGGAGCTGTCGCGGACTGCGGCCTCTGTATATGGGGTTACTCGAAAAGAACGTAATGCGGTTGTACTACTTGTCATCAAATCACACGCCGTCTTTTTTCAGTTGTTCAAGATGCATAACCAGTGGATTACTTTAGAGACAAGGAGGAGGTAGTGGCCATTATGGTACCACAATATGTTAAGAGTGAAAACATTTGAGCTGTGTCCAAACCGTTGTTCATCGCTCCGACTTCACCAAATTGATTTCTGAACGCTCCATTCCGAGTTCATTTCATCGGCCAGTCTAACAGGGGAACAGTAGTAACAGAAGCAGTGGCAACGAGATGAGGCAAAGCAGTCGAAATGAATGTAAAGACGATAAAAATAGTGGAAATAAGGCCTAGCCCCAAAAGAATAAATATTAATTAGTGTGAGCGATTAACAAGCTTGACTTCAAGATATTAGTTGCCATTCTGAAGAGAAATCTTTATAATACCGACCAAATGACAGCTCAGAACTGTGTGTTGTGAAACAATTCACATTTATTAGACTATTTTAGCTGTCAGAGGGGTTGCTTTCCAAGCAATCGTCCAATAGTTTCTGTCTAAACTGAGATGACCTTCAGCCCCACCAATCAGTGGTTGTTGAGGCAATAATTTTCAGGTGATGACACCCCTTCAATTTTACTTTAAGTTATTTGAAATAATCTAGCTGATGCAAATCAACTTAAAAGTTTCATATTTTGATAAAAGGTCTAAAATCCTCTTATCTATAATTCGTGTAAGCAAATGTAATGCGGTAACCGTTAGTTTAACTCTCGAGTTAGATATGGCGGCCACTTAGGTGCTCCGCCATCCTTCGTTAAGTGTTTTGGCCTCCAGGCCATGGCAGTAGCCCACCAGTCCTTCTGCAGGTCTTCGATACACACTTTTGCTGAGCATTATGCCTCCTTTTGTTTTTGCGGAGGTCCTGGCACGCTGAATTGATAGCAGCATGAAGCAAACCCGATCCTAAAAGACAGCTACCCTGATTTTTACTAGTGGATACCAAAACTACGGTGATGGAAAAAGGGCATGCACTGCAGATGCGAGAACCTGTGACGACCCGCAACTGAAGGGTTAAAAATGATGTCTGCCTTCGGCCACCATCCCAGTCCTGTGTTCAGTAGGAACGCAATTAATAGACGAAGCGAAACTAGCCATGAAACATCTGTAAAAGTTCGTTCCAGAGCTGTCTGCGATAACTGTATGACATTGTCAAACAAGCAAACATGCGGCGCCTCCTCTGCTCCTCTACTGGCTGGATGAAAATCCGGGTAGATACGGCTGGAAAGCAATGAAAACCAAGATAGTAATCTGCAAGGAGGAACAGACTCGAAACCATTTTTTCACGAAATTCTTTAGAACCCCATCCTTTGCTAAATGACCCTGCCTTTAAATCAGTGCTCCTTCGACCGGCGATGATATTGAGTTCTGGCACCTACTAAGATAAATGGAGATTCCATGAATGGCATGGTTAGCCGGTAAGTGTTTTTCTTACAGCACTGATTGCGCCTTAGTGGCCGACGTGGAAGGTCAGCTAATCGGAGTTCAGGGGACTGCACTCAACACACGGTTTTGGTAACGGACTACTTAGGGGACTCCAACATTGTTTCCTTGCCGGGCTGTCTGACCTCCTGACCACGATAGTGACCCCTAAGCCCTTCTGTGGGTGTATCATAAATATTCCGATCAAGTATCATGTAGTCTTTTGTCTTCGCCTTACCAAAACGCTGAGTTTCAAATCATATTTTTAAGTGAATTGCAGGTCTGCCTAATAAATTCATGCGTTTTAACAGGTAAATCTAGTAGCCATGGAAAATTTTTTGTTTGGCAACCCTCAAGTATTTGAAATGTACCCAAAATTTTGCTTTCACTGCTTCTAAGGAACATCAGGTTTTTGCTAAGTTTACCTCCGGCACCTCTTTTACGGGTACCCGTTGCACTGTTTGATGACAAGAGCAAGTGATATGCATCAAAATGGCAAATATGAATGCAGGGGAGGCTGAGGATGAGAGTAAGGCGGTATCTCCTACCCCTTAAAGTACAAGTCTTCTAACGGTAAGGTTTCGCTGCAGTTTTGGTTATAAGGCCTCGGGTGGTTACCACTTTGACCAGTGTGCTTTATCATTTAATTGAAATCACAAACCAAGCTGTTCTACACATTTCCCCTTGGAAATCCAGATATCGTCTTTGAATCCCTAGTCCTATAGACAATTGCACACCGCACTCGAGTTCCTTCTTCTGATTGGCTAGTGTTGCGGCGAGCAGCTCCATTGGTTTGTTAATAATTTCTTTGCCTCCGAGGCTAGTTGGAAGGACGTAAGTGCACGTGAATTATAACCCCAAGTGGTACTTCAGGGCTACCGATGGCACAAGTCAGGATCTCCACTTCACACACATCGTGGAGTACGCACGCATTGCATATGGGTCGAAGCAGTGGAAACGTTCTTCTAGAAGTCCTTGTCAACCTTCGAATCTTCTTGCTGAGGATGCACGTTAATCGTGCACACGTACAAATTTGTAGATCATTACAAATCCTCACATGATCTGCACCGTTACCCACACATGAAGGAACAGAAATGATTTGTTTTATGCATCCCCCTTGGATGGATCCAACTTCCTCCAGAAAACAAAAGCAGTAAGCAGGCTCAATTGGAAATAAAGGCAAATAAAGCACAAACCAAATCACAGAAGTGATTCCATAAAGGGTGTTCGTTTGATTCGTGTGAATCACCTTCTGTCTTGCCAAAGATAGCAATGTGTCTTGCTACGTGGACATAATTTCATTCAAAAAGCTTAGTGTCACCATACGCAGTTTGGGGTCCACTGCAATTTCCCCGTACTCCGGCTTCACGTACTTGTTGAAAACGACCTGTGCGCATTAAAAGAGAAGAGGGAGTAAGCAAATTAAAAATTATACTTTCCAAAAATTAACTATAAATTCGACTGATAGTTAATATATCCAATACAGAAATACGTTATTGAAGTGGCTACCTGTTAATTTAAAAAATTTGCACAAATTTAATATCAGGGAGCTGCGTCAAACTTGCCATGTATGGTATGTTTGTGAGGTGTTTCGTATAATATGGAATGCAGTAACTTTTAATCCGGAAGAGGATCCGGCCGTATAATCTGGCAACGGTCCTGAGTTCTTTGGTCTCGCTGTGACCTGTAAATTTTACCATGGAAGGTGGCCATGCAGGTTTAAAGCAATGGCTGCATAAAAACCCACAGACACATCTCAATCCTAGTATTCGACGAATGAGGTAGAGTACACCGGCACAACGCAAGCTGGCGGAATAGCGACACAGACTGGCTTGACAAAGACCCAATTCGAAGATGTAATTGCAAGCTTGCATAGCCTAAAGGAAAAAGGTGGTTTATGAAACACATAGACATTGGGTTTAAAAGAATAATTTAAGCTCACCCATTCCAATATTGAGTCCGTAAAGTCGGGGAAGCCAAACATGTAGAGGTCGAGGAATCTATGTGGAGTTGGGAAATAAATCCCATTTCCTATGCACCTTCTCAATGTTTCCTCCATTCTTATAATCTATAAAGATGATATGATATCATGAGTTACGTATAAATCGTTGTTACCGGGAAGGCAAAAATGTAGAAGACGAACCTGGACCGGTGTGTATGCACCATTAATAATGCTGCATATATTTTTATACTCTATTGGTGTATTAGGCGACCTAATACGAATGGCCATTTTGATTGCCCCCAGAGCCAATAGCTGATATTCTTGGCGTATTATAGGTCGAAGACAGGTGTACAGATCCATAAGGCCTACGGCTATATGCAAGGTCTGCGTTGGAATGCCCATCCGCATATTCAGCTAGAGAAGGGAAGTTGCAGGATTGTTGAGTTAATGCAAGTCATATCACTGACATGGTGGTATCTTCACCACACCTTTACCTGTATCATCCATTGGATAAGGCAATTACGAGTATCGGCAGCGATACCACAACGGCTAAGGAATTGATGATTGTATGATTGCACATATCTTGTATCTAGATCCAATTCCTCGTTTAAAGTCTACAAAATGTCATAATAACCATCAAAAGGTTGGGACTGAGGTAGCATCCAAAACGAGGTACTGATGGTCCTACCCTCGAATACAGTTGGCAATCTCCTTCTGTTAGCACGTCATGAAAGTCATCTATGGCAAGAAATCCCTTTGGACTTTCTTTTAGTTGATTTTGTGTCGGCAGATGGGTTAGATACTGGTTGATGACCATTCTAAGGGATTCGGCTACGCTACTGAGGTTGAGCTCAAGGCGATGGGTCTTGTCGAAGGAAGAATTGCCCACATCTTGTGATTTTATTGTCAAATCGAACAATTCTAAAATTCAGAGCAAATTAAAATATCATATCGCAATGGAATTAGGTATCATCAAAGGGCGATATTTATAAAGAAAAATACGTAGCAAGAGAAGTAATTTTTGTATCCAAGACCATACCAACTACTGGATTTACTATTTCCTGTGGCGCAATTGAAATAATACGACGTTCAGGACCTTCGCCGACTGGAAAAAGAGGGCAATGGGATCAGTATAATAACGACAAAATTGTAAAATAAAGAAGCTGATGGTAGCAGACTTAATTGTTTCCCCTAAAATAAATAGGGGAATATAAGAATGAATTGCTACCGGAAGTGGTGCTGAAGCGATGCATAAGAACCTTACCATCGACATGTGTCCCACCTTCCTGTTGTAGTAGAGGGTGTTGGCCATCTTAAGGTAAACGCACATTAATAAAACAATCTTGGCTGAGGTGAAGCGCATATTTAAGGCATCAACGAAAAGGAAGATACAACGCTTGATGGAGTGAATGTGTGACGAATAGATATGAAAATGCAACGCTTTATTATATGGACAACCAAAGAATCTCTCTTGATATGACTCGTGACACCAAGGCTATGAAGTAGACTTCATGAAGAAATCCAAATTTACCACGGATTGTATTCAGAGCTTCCTCCTCAGGTGAAGCTGTGAATGCAGCTGATGCATGCTGTTCATCTTAAATAAAACAACAATGGCTGCGATGTTATCAAAATCTAGGTCTTTCGTACTTGGGTAAACTCAGCATTTGATTGAGTGAATGTGTAACAGTGAGATTTGTAAAGACAATACCCTATTTATCCGAGAAGTGAGGGTTTTATTCTACCGTAGAGTATGTCCAAGATTAAGAAATAGGGTTTGTCAAGACAATCAAATTTACCACGAATGAGATTCAGTGCTTCTTCTTGCAGTGAACATGTGTTTCCAGTTGATGCGTACCGTTCATCTTCAAGAATAAATAACGAGATGACTACCGTGACTGTGGTGGTGCCAAAACCTAAGACTTCTATGGTAAGCTAGATACAGCATCTGATGGAGTGATTAGATGACAGAAAGATTCTTAAAGGTAATGTCGTATATATTTGATAAACACTGAACCTATTCCATCATTGGTGGTGTGTCTCCAAGATTAGGAAAAAATGTTTTATTAAAAAAGCCAAACTTACCTATAACTAGAATCCGTGCTTCCTCTTGTAGGGGACATGCGTCTGCAGTTGGTGCGTGTTGTTCAACTAAAATAAAAGGATAATGCAGTGATTACAACGGCAGTGATGAAGCCAAAACTTGGGCTCCTTTGATCAGGTAGAGAGAGCGTCTGAAGGAGTGAAGGCAATGCTAGTCAAACAAAGAATTCCCCCTTTCGTGGTATGAGTCAGCAAGGCTTTGAAGTAGATTTCGTCAATAAAACCAAATTTACCCATAACTACATTTGGTGAGTCCTCTTCTTTTGGAGAAGTGTCTGTAGGTGACACGTACTGTTCGTCTTAATGAAAAGCACAATGGGAAGATTATTGTAGCTCTGGTGAAGCCATAACCTAGGGTTTCTATGATAAGCCAGATACAAAGCCTAAAAGAGTGAAGAGGCGACAAGAAGGCAGTACCGTACCTAGTGGACAAAGAAAGAATCTATTTTACTATGGTGCAAGTCTCCTAAGGTAGGAAGAAGGTTTCATCAAAAGAGCCAAATTTACCTATAACTAGATTGTAACTTCCCTCGTGTGATGGCGACGTGTCTGCAGGCAACACGTAATGTTCATCTAAAGTAAGTACACAATAAGGTGATTACCATGGCTGTGGTGGAGCCAAAACGCAAGGTTTCTATGATAAGTTAAACGTAACGTATGATGGAGTGACCGTATGAAGGGACGATTAAAAAGAATTATACATATGGCAATTGCCAAACAATGATTCTCTTCTCCTATGGTATGTTTCTTCAAGAGCAAGAAATCCCACTTTACTCATAACTAGATTTGGTGCTTCCTCTTTTTGTGGCCATGTCTCTGCAGTTGTCGCGTGCTGTTCAACTGAAATAAAAGGACAATGAGGTGGTCTTCATGGTCAATCTCAAACCAAAACCTAAGACACCAGTGCTAAGGCAAATACAACATCTGATTGTAAATTTGAAAAGGCAATATCTTATTTACTGGACGAACAAAGTATCTCTTCTACTATGGCATGTGCCTCCAAGGGTAAGAATTGGGTTTCGTCAAGAAGGCCAAATTTACCACGATCTGGCTGCGGTGTGCCCACTTGTGCTGGAGGTGTGTCTGCAGATGGAGTGTGCTGATCATCTTGAATAAATGGACAATAAGATGACTATAGTAGCTCTGATTAAGCCCGAAAGTAAGGTTACAATGTTAGAGTAGGTGTAGCTTTTGATTTAGCGAACGAGTTATCAGTGGATTTAAATCGTCGCACCTTATCTTCTAGGCAATCGAATGAGCTCCTAACTAGGGCATGGGTAACCAAACTTAAGGAGTAGGTTCCATTAAGGCGACCAAATTTACCATTTGTTGCATCTGGTTCTTCCTCTGGTGATGCATCGGGATAAGCAGGCGAGGGGCCTTCTCCGTCTAAATCAGAAAGACAATGCCTTGAAGGTAAGGCGACTACGGAACAACTTACCGCCCTACTTAGTTGGATAATAGCAACCACTAATTTCTAGATCATGATAGACATTTAAGCGCATTTGACATTTTCACATGGGAAGACTTCCTCGTGGATGTCCCCTGCTTTTGCATGGACCAGTTCCTTCGGCCGAAATAAAAGGCAATTGGTTCAAAAGCATGCAACTGAGCATGGACCATATGCTCAATTTGCAAAGCGAGAATGATATTTGTATTTATTAGTAAAGAAGGTGCCTTCAACGTATTATTTAAACACCACCTTATCCAAATGCGACGGATCCTTGAGGTCGTTCTTCGTGTAATACCCAGTTGCCAAGCGACAGCTATCACCTCAAGCCAAACTTCCATATAAATCATTTTGGGTCTCCACAGCGATCTCGATTTTGACTGCTATCGTGGCTTATGATAATTTTCATTGCCTCATTCATCTCGCAAAATAATGACAGGGAAAAGATGACGATATGGGGCAACCTACCTTCTGTGGTGCGAGGTCGCTTCGATTGTGGTGACCTTGTGATGTCAGCTTGTGCGCCTACTTCATCTAAGGTAAGGCGCCAAAAGAGTATGCTCAGTAAGTTGAGTAAAAGAAATTGCCTATTGAAAATAGTCGAACTTTGTACAAATTAGAAACTTGACAATTGATATGTAAGTAAGGAGAAGGGAAAGGAAGTGAAGAGAGAAGTGATTGTTACTTCTGGGAGGTCCCGAGGGTGGGGAACTTAATCTGCGACGTTGAGTGCCTGAAAAATGTGAGAAAGGCAGAAGGAGAAGATAGTGAAATCGTATTATTGCCTTAGTTATAGCAAGAGGCCAATTCGATGATAACATAATGATGGCAAGGATATAAAAATCTACCTCTTGTTGGACTCGATCCTTCCTCATTTCCCTTTGGCCTACATCAGTATCTGATTTATGCAAGCGGTGAAAGCGGTCAATTTTAACTTCAGTTTATAAAATATGTTTTATCTAACAATTGTTTCACCCTCTGTTGAACAAGCTATAGAAATAAATGAAAATGTGTTCAAATGCTGAGGCAATCAGAATGGTGTATCATGTGCACGAGTTTATAATTTGTCCCCATATTGACTGAAAATAATGGACCCACGTGGAGATGGATAATTCGGTTGCGAAAACCTTCTTGAACCTTCATGCCTATAGCATTTTAATGCGTATAGACCAAGCAAAACTCGCTTACTCTCCACCTTCACCGTTTTGACTCATGTGTGTGATTCGCTATTTTAGCTTCCGTTGTTTGATTGCACGCAAAGAGAGAACACCTTCCTAAATGAGACAAATGAAAGCCCGACGGTCAGTTCATCTCGCGTCTCGAATGAGTTTTAGCCCACGCGAGCGGTCATACGGGCAAACAGTTTAATTAACCAATCAATAATTCAAATTACACCTAGTCGATGAGCCACACGACGTTGGCAGTCTAATTAAGGTGCCCGCGAATGCCTGCTCCGCCTCTCGTCAATTTCATAATCCCCGCTTCGCTTGTCGTAGTGAATTTCTTGTTGTAGCAGCGTTGACACCACTGTGGCACTGAGTGGCGGATTGACAGTGACAATTGCCACGAGGAACGCTGTGAAGTGAAAGCCTTCTAGTGTAACTCCTCCACAAATAATCTTTATTAATCATAGATCTTTTCCCATGGCAAGGACTTGAAGTCCACTTTCTGTAAGTTAGCATTCGAATTATTTCATGATCTCAGTGCAAATGTAGATTGAAACACTGCATCTTAATGGCGTCGTCATGCCATCATCGATGACCTTGTTCGTTTGTGGACTCCAAAGAAATGCAGCTATTACTCTCTCTGTTTGTTCGGCGGTGTGGAATCGTCTACTTCTTCTGATTCTCTCTCACTGCCCCACTTTTGCCATGCGTTTTCATAAAATAAATGAAAAACGGTGAAATTCGAATTGGCAGTCTTCCAACTTCACTCTCGCCTGTTGTTAGCACACGTACGTGGGACCCATTTGCAGTGTTGTTTCCGTAAATTCACCATTGCTATTTTTATTTGGTATGAATCAATTAGTTCGCCATTACCCACCTCGAACCTGACTTAAAGTTTCCCCTGTCACTGTCACCCTTATTCTTTCAACATGCCATTAGCAATACTTACGTCTTCGTGATGAAAATAGAGAGTCACCCTGAACGTAGGGTTGCGTCTATCTTTAAGTAGGTCACCAAAAGTATCACATTATCTAAATCATGTTCTGCTAACTCTGCCGCATACTTCAACAACAAATTGAACTCGAAACTTTTGAAGCTGTGGAACTGACTCCTCTCAACTAGGTCCAATCACATCCACCAGGTACGACCAACACGATACGTACGAGAACACAAAATACTTGGAAATGGGTGTAGAGAACAATAGCGAGTGCTGTACCGACAGATGGATAGACTAACGCCTTACATTAAATACACTTTATCACCTGCATACAGCTTACAAGTACAAATCACCCCAAGAAACTGTGTCCAAATTTGGCACAAAATTATTTGGCCACCCTCTGGCATTATTTTTATTAGCCTTCGTTTTATCTCTCCTGGAAAACCGAATATCCAGCTGCATTTACGATTTACTCTTCCTTGGCTATGTGGTGCTAGAGTGCTTATCTCACATCAGCTTGACGCTCACTGTTTGCCTACAGTCACAGAAGCAGAATACAGCAGCCTACACACACGCATACGTACAAATGCTGCTTCCCAGACTGAGCACGCAACTACCGAGAAGCAGCGCCCAGCAGAGCGCGCACCATGCACAGTAGAGCGGTCTCTTGGACTTACCGTAAGGCATTTTGCCACTGGCGGTGGTAGTTTTGCTCAAAGATTTGGCTTAGCTTAAACAAGCCGTGGCGCCGAAGGTCAATCACTTTGGTACCTCTCCTAGCCACGTGCAAATGCACATGCCCACACGTACCCACGGATACTTGCATCTGCAAGTTGGTGCTATAAGTGGGATTATGTAACTTATTAGATGATTGATGTAGAGAGTTGCTCTTGTCGATCTAGCTTCTGTCTATTTGCCTCTCTTTTTTAAAAAGGCGGTTTATATGAATTTAGAATTTAGTGCTAAGGGCCTGCTGGGAAGTGACTGTATAACATAGCCTCTTGCATACTAGTGACATTTACTCGGTGTTTATAGCCATCGAACTTCTAAGTAGCGTCTTTTTAGACTGCGTTCTCCAAGGTAGGTGCCTCATGAAGAAGTACATGTCTCTTTTGAAGGGTCGAAATAGTGGGGGGATCAAAGTATCATCCTGGAATAATAAATTGCTTGGTCTACGACTTCCTCAATTGGGAAGACAATGGCATGGAAGCTAAGGGGACCAAACGAATTCTACTCACACAAGTTAACAGGCAAAAGCAGGCCTCAAAGACTACAAAGCCCTTATCAGCTCCTGTCACACTGATTTCTGGCAGGCAGAAAGCCCACCAAAGCCGACTCCATCCTGTTCGCACATGCGTATTTTGCAACTGTTCGGTGTGTGCATATTACTGCTTGGGCAGTCACGGCGACACTTTTGTTACCATTGAGGGAGTCCTGTATGATTGTAATACGGTCGACAACAAGGAGGATGACACTGGGATATTTTGATTCAGTTACGGAGAACGTAATGTACGGACTATGAACATCCTCTTGCAAGCTGGATTTTCAATGAAAGGAAGAAAATAAGAATGAAGAGGAGTCACTTAGATAACTGAAGCTTTATTTTTGAGGGCTAGAAATACAGTCATTTGCCGCTTTCCCGAGGCCGTCTCTTTGTAGCTACTCCCGTGTATATGGCAGCAATGCAACATTAGGGAGGGTGATACAGTGCACAGTATAATGAGCAGTCTGAACAACAGGTAATGCCATGCGATGCAATGAAACGGTGGGAATAAATATGACAGAGATGCGTTTTTCGACAGATCACCATTCCTCTGATATGACAATGTTATCAATGTCACTGCAACACCAGCCCGGTTTGGCACTACGAAGAAGAGTGAAAGGAGCGTTCGCGGAGTGTCCCGTTGGTAAGAGCAACCCCCAGGTCGAAAAGCGATGTTTTCCTGCATTCGCCTACACTTTGGTGGCCATCAAGCCGAAGCACGGCCTCAAATGGTGTCTTCATCCGTGTGGTGCAGACTAGAAACCATCGACCAACCGCTTCAACAATTCAACTATTTTGGCATCCACCAACTCGAGCGGAGTTGCGGGCTTATAATGATAGTAGGATTCAAATCTTCCAGCCCCTGCTCTTGTGAGCCCTCCTGCAGGTGTTGCCTATCCGGCGTAAGTGTGATTTGATTCTTTGAATTCTAATTACTGATAAGCCGGGTTGGACCAAGGTGGGGTATTTATCGGATCACTTTCTCCTTTCCCTGTCACCCATGTCACGTAGGCGTTGGTGGTGTGATTGTGGTACTGGTCTTCATGTGGTGTCAAGACCAACACTTTGGCTGCAATGTTTGGCGCTTGAATCTTTTTGTCGATCCGGCGGTTTAATGTTAATGTGCTGGGAATGCTTGCGACCCCGGGCAAAAACCTCTTGTTCAATTTTGCAATCCTTCGAATTGAAGGCTTAAAATCCTTCCTGACTGATCCCCATTTGACTGAAATTAGCGGCACGCAGGCATACATTTTAGCCAGTCTTCGCTCTCTAACCGACAAGCTCATACGGATTGACCTTAACCCCCCACCCCCCAAGATTACTCATTATGTCGGTGACAAAGACGACAACAATGAATTCTTTGTTCATCGGTTATCCGGTTGGAAGTTCGACAGGATCTAGGCCATTCGTGAACGTAGAAATTGCAGTGCACTGTAAATATCTACACAGGCTATAAGAAGGTGTTTGTCAACGTAAATAGTAGAGTATGTACTTTTTGATGTGTCAGCCATCCTACAAACTTCTTTTAAGAAAACTGCAGTGCTGAACTGGAAGATTGTTGCAAAGTACGTAGTTGTGCCGCTTTTAGGGACTAGACTTGTTTGAATGTGGGTGGGTACGACGATGTCAGTGCTATCATGAGGAGGCATAATGATGAACCGGTAGTGCTCCGTCCATCCATTCACATTCTCTGAATTTTAATACACTGCAGCATTGTTTCATTTCCCCTCACCTAAATTCCTCCTTTTTTTCCTCATTTTTCAGACCAATTTAGACTCACTTACATGTAGTGCTGGCACGACGCACATAGCAGCTCCAGTTATTCCTTTCTCTTTTTTGTTTTAGACTTGAAAGGACACTGCATGCGTCTAAGCACCATGCAGGTCTGCAGCTGCGATAGACAGCTTTCGAAACTGGATGTTATGGTGGACATTTCTATTTATCTTTCATTTTTACTTCAGGAAATTAAACTTTGCAATTTTAAACTGTGGGCTTGAACCACGAACGGTCACCTCTAAATTGGATTGTGATTTCACCAATTATTTTCATTCCATTGGATGGCGATCAGGTTTTTAAAAGTATAACTACTTATGCAAAAATAATAAAGTGGGGATCTGGTCCAATTTCATTTATTGTTGAGGTGCTTGCACCTACGAAACCTATCACCCACCATCGTTTAAGTCATCTTTTTTTCCAAATTTACTCCTTTGAAAAACACATGCAAAAAGTAGTGACATTTTGGCTACGCATGACATGCGCAAGGTGCATTTGCTCAACTCTCTGACCATCCTTCGACAGGAGCCTTTGACACACACACACACATCTTTGCAAAATGTCACTCACCGCACTCAAATATGCAAGACATGTATGAATTTACTGTCACTGGTGGTGAAATGATCACATGCATAGGAAGATGAAGCCAAAAATTTATTTGCCTTCAGAGTTATCATTATTTAATGATAAAGTAGATGAGTTTAGGGTCTCCTCGATGAGCTCAAGATCAGAACCAGATAATAGAGGTGTTACACTAACACCCTATTTAGATCACAAGTGCCACTTTACGCTTCAGTTTTTGTATTCAAGTCTTAACCAAACCAGTTTGCGGAGATCAGGGGGTGGGTAGTTCACTCCCAAAGACTGAGGTGCTCTGGATGCGTAGTACCGAGGATCACAAGAAAGTTCTGTCATCCTCAGTGGCACAATGATGCTGTTAAATTTTTACTACTCCATTTTTCTGCCTGTTATTTAAAAGAATTCTCAATTAGGTGTTCAAGTTTTGCAAGATGCATCACCGTCATCAGATTTTTTGCAGATCGACAATTTCACCGGCTTACCAGCACTTCGGCGTAGCATCTCCTTTGGCAGATATAAATGTCATCTTTACAAGAAACTTTGGCTGCTTATTTTTTTTTCTTTATGATGGGTGAATTTTTCCATCACAGGGAAGGTGGCGAACCCTCATAACTGTGGATTAGAACCTGAACGAAATTTGACTTGGAAAGGCGATTTGCCTGAAATTATTCGGCGGTGATTCTCGGAGACATTCACAGCGGATGCTCCCAATCTTCGGTGATCCAATTTGCCTGACACCTAATTTAAGCATCCCAACCGTAATGCATGGTGTGGCAATAGTGGCGATGGCCGCAAACGGGATCGCATGTACCCCTTTGATTTCAAATGTCGAGTCCTCTCTGGATGTTACAATGTAGAGAATGCGGGCGGACTAAATTATTGCCCTCTTTTCTTGAGTTTGTGTAAGGATGTAAAATTATTTGCTTGAATTCAATGGCATTTTGATCAGGGGATGCACTTTGACCCTTCTTTTCTGTTTGAGGAAAGGTAATCATCGGCGGATGGAATGTGTGCTCCCTCTAACTACGACGAAAGCAATGACAAGTGAACCTAACAGTGGTAAGCAATAATTTTAGAAAATTTTTTCCCTTTGGTATTTAATAGAGACATTTATTGGATGTAACACTTCATTTCAGTTTTGCGGGCACTTGAGGCCTCACCTATGCACTTCGACTATCCTGGCAGTCCCCACAACCGACCCTCAAAATGTAGGCAATGTGTCGCCTTTCGTATTTGGAGAAGTCTCTATGCGCTGCACTGGTGGCAGTGGAAGGTGAACTCGAGCCTAAAGGACATTGAAACTTGTCTCTATTGCCGGGTGCCAGGCCTTAAGGTGAGGGAAGAAATGCACATGCTATGGACAGGAGAATTTGTGACACTCCCCAACAAAAGGTTGGAAATGACCCCTGGGGTCGATTATTTCTTTTCTCTTTCCTTTTCATTCGTTGAAGCACTGCGTGGCAGACTGGAAGTGTCAGTCACGCACACACCACCCTAACTGGAAAAAATGGCGGACGGTTTGATTATGCTTACACTTTCATCTCCGACAAGTGGAACCTGCAAACCTGCCTTGGATTGCTGAACTACATATGGTAATTTTTAAACCATATAGATTACACGTGATTAAGAAAGGCATGTATGACAACACGGGACACCGGCGATGCACGGTGCGAAGTAAAACTTCCAAGACCAAAGCTGATTGAAATGGGGACCTTGTTCAGTCTCACTTTTGCTGAAGTACCTGCAGTCATTTCCCATTAATCGCCATCGGCTTAGAAAATATTTCTAAGGCGTTTATTTCTCTCGTAAGGCATCATGTCGGCTATAGAGTATCACACCCGCCACCTTCAGCCTCAACCCATCTCCCAGAGACTTTTGCCTGTATGGATTCTTAAATACTACTCTAGAGGTCTCTAATAGAGTACTAAAAGGGTGGTTTAAATTACCACGTCTGAATCGAGGGTGTTTCATCAGGACAAGTCTGTAGATTATCCTTTTAATTACAGCTGATACCTCCAAAATGAAAGTGAATAGCGGAGGAGGAAGAAATTTAATGAGCAGAAATGTTACAAAGAAGGAGGGCCTCCTTTTGGGTGTAACAACACAAAAATAAGGCAGTAATTCTCAGAGTGAGAATTTATGCTAAAAGTGCAGACGAAGTGGGAAAGAGGGCTTTTCGGGACATCAGGATTTAAGGCTGATTTGCCATAGGCCAAATAACTCGCTGTTATGCTGATGCCAAGATAATTCTGTCTAAATGGGTGAAATTGCGCAATTTTGGATCCATTGCAATGTAGTTATATTCCGGTCTCATGTACTTGTTGAAAACAACCTATGGTCATCAAAGAATAAACATGAAGAAAGCTTGCAAGGAATCTAAGCTAATGTCATAAAAGTAAATCCTATCAAAAGCAATTGCGTAAAATGTGGTTTTAGATTTTTAAACAAGTTAATTTGAATATTTAGTTTGCTTTTACTTTACTAATTGTGTTAACATACCGAGTTTGGTGAACCCGAATGACATCGCTGATAAAATTTAACTCCATATTTTTGGGCCAGCATTAGAGCATCCAGGTAGATGCCGGAAACACGTCGAAGTATTGCGGTGTCGTGGTGACTCGTAAATTTCACTAGTGCTTCAGGCCATAGAGGAATGTTGCGATATTGACAGCTTTTCCCACCACCCTGTTTATCATCCGAGCAATCACATTTTCTCTTCAAAATATAACGAATGAGGTAGAGAACTGAAGCGCATCGCAGGGTGGCAGAATAGTGACACAGTCGCTCGTCCTGAAGGCCCAAATCGAAGATGTAATTGCAGGCCTTTCTAGTCTGAAGAGAGGAAGGGAATGATTTTTAAATGACTCGAAGGTCATACTGGTGAACATACCCCAGTAAATAAAGGGGAAGTACCCATTTTATCATATCATAAGTGAAGTCAAGGAGGCCAAAAATAAAGACGTCGAGAAATTGGTGTGGAATTGGAAAATTAGCTCTACTTCCAATCCATGACCTCATTGATGCTACCATCGTTCTTATCTAAAAGTAATTGCATTGAAGGCTAAAATTAATGGCATTTAGTGAACCAGTTTACGAAGCTGAGTAGAAAATGTTGGCACTAACCTGTTGCGGTGCCATTTCATTAAGAGTAATTTCACACAGCTTACAAAAATCAACTTCAAAAATAGGTTTCCATTGCAAAGTGGCCATAATGAGTGCAGCCATGGCTAATGTCTGGTAGTCTTGGCACGCAATGGGCTGAAGTTGGGTGCACAGATCCATTAGCCCCACAGCTGTGTGCAAGGCCCTCGTTGGAATCCCCATCCACTGATGCATCTTAAGGCAATAACCTCAAAGATGTTAAATTAGTGTAAATCACAATATCGACACAGTAATTTTTATTGCCCTCATACATGTATCATCCATTGGACAACGTAGGGACGAAAGTCTGTCGGTATTCCGAATTCAACGGTGGGAAGATTATTGAATGGTTGCACATAATCGGAATCTAGCTTCAACTCCAAATCCATAACCTAAAGATTTAGGGTTGATTTTGTGGTAACAGAGGAAGAACTAGCAATTTTACCCCCAAAAAATTGCATAGATCATGTTCCCTAATTGTTGGAGGATATGGAGAAGACAAAATGGAGGTGGAAATTGCCTCACTAGTTCGATCTGGCCTAAGTCGTATCGCGATAACTTTGTCAATAATTCCCCGAACAGATTCGGGTATTTGTTCAAGAAGCCTTTCTGAAGGGCATTTTTTAACATCATCATCATCAGCATCTGATGCTTGTATAAAGAGATCTAACAATGGAAAAAAACGAAATGTGCAAATGTGATCGCATCCAGTGATACAAGTCGTATTTCAATAGTTATCAAGGAAAGTGAATAATCCATTTCATTGACTTAAGTAGTACTGAGGTAATCGGCAATTTACCATTTACGAAGGCAGATTTACTGATTTATGACCGTAAAAATAGGTATTAATATAGACACTTGCCTGTTTGAATGATGATAAATTCAAATAACTGAAGGAATAAAAGGTAAAGAATAAAACAAAGATGGTTGGAATAAAAGCGACATTGAAGGGGATATTAGTAAAGGTATGGATTTTGTCCACCCACTTATCAGAGACATCGTGAGCAGTTGGGAAAGTCGGCGGGTTCTATCTCGATCAGGCTGAAGGAAACCCAGTTAATTCGGACTACCAGGTCTACTTCAATGCGCAACTAGGCGGACAGACGATTTAATTAATTAATCAATAAATTAAACCACGTTTGATCGTTAATTGGTAAATTGATTAAGGTGAGCATAATTAGGCGCGGGAACAGCTCAGTGGGTGGTGGCATTCCATTGCGTCAGTTAATTCCCGGTTTTGATAAAGGGGTCATCGAGGTGCTCCACCATTGTACCTTTGACCCATGGACCATGTCGGCAGCCCCAAGCCCTTCTGCAAGCTAACAATACACATTCTGCAGGAGTATTACGCCACCCTTTTTCTTTAAGGAAGTCTAGAGGCGCTAAATTATGTCTGCCTCGTTTTGCTTCCCATCATGGCGTTTTAACCCTTTTTGCAGAACAGGCACCCCTGTGCGTCACCGAGTGGCGGGGTAACAGTGACGCCCGTCAGGAGGAGCGTTGTGTCGTGGAAACTTTCCAGCACCACTTCTCTCTAGCGCATTCATGTCTATTATGTGGCCATTCGGATGGTAAGAAGTAAACTTTCACCTCCGATAAAAGTCAGGTTCATGTCATGTCAGACATGCACTCAGCTAGGGAGTAAGTTATATAACACGCATCAAAAACCTTTGTATATTAATAGAGTGGTCATATTTATGCTAAAGTTCTAGTTCATTATATCAGGGTAGAAACTGGCGAAGGGACACCAGACGATTGCAATGATTTATTAGTATAAGGTAATTATACTCATATGCAGCAGGAAATCATGTGTCTCGAATAATTTTTCTCCTCCAGCACTTGATTATACAGTTATCCCTATGTCGAAGATGATGAATGAGCAAGTGTTATGAAGAAAGTTGTGCCTTTGCCCATTATTAAACGGCACGAAATGAAGTATGAACCAGTGATTTTATTTTAAAGTAGCTGCGTTAAATTAGATGCCCTCAAGAGGAAACTCGATCATCTTCGTTTTGGTTTTGCGGGCATTGAATCCTCCGCCTCTGTACTTCCTCTGGGCGGCATGGCCTCCGTGGCATGGCAGAAGCCCCCTTTCCTCTAAGCCCTTCAGTAGGTTGGCAGTATATTTTCGGTAATATTGTTATGATTTCTTTCGTCTTCAGGCGAAAAATCGGGACGCTAAAAAAACAACCAAACGCCTCGAATCAATTAGAAAGATCCGTTAAACAGCTATCGCATCATGAAAGCGAATAAGTTGAATGTGTGGCAGAGTTGTGACTGGTTCGTTCGAACTTGATTACGACGAATCCGTAACCGACTCCGGTGTGGTAGAGATGGTTCCAGCAAACCAAATTGCTATAAACTGTGAGCTGAGTGTTGACAGATGGATTAACGATTCCCTATAAGACCCTCCAGTGTCCTCTTTGTAATGGTTATCTACATAATGGTAGATAACTGACGCTTTTAAAATCGGATCTGTCTTTTCAAATGAAGGAGTGTAGATCTGTTATGGAGAGGAGGTTCCAAACAGAGTGATCAGGTGACAAACCCCTTGATATGGGTGCCCTTATTTGCCAACAGGTATATTAACAAGTCGTGGGGGTACAGCATATCCTTACGCGATCGCTGACTGAATTTTCGTGTGTGTTATTTATTTGTTATTTGCATAGTCCCGGGCCTATAGTTCTTAGTAGCTGGCTTAAAGTTCATCCCCACCTAATGTAAATAAATCAGGAGGAAGTTAACACAAGAGCGACGTATAGGAGTGTTTGAGATTCAGACACACAAAAGAAAACACATGGAGAACGGAAAAGTGAGCAATATCTGGGTCCACTCAATGAAAGGTGCAGGCGGCTATAGAGGGAGCAGAGACCCGCAGCAAATGAAAAGGATTAGGTGTAAATGAATTGGTCGTTTGGCTTCAGTGTATTTTACCTGGCTCTAGCGTTATTAGGCCCTCGAGATATTTGATAAGTGCTTTCCCACCCGACGCTTTCCATCACAGTCCCCCAACCGGTCTTAAGCGCTTGGCACCAGACCAAAACCAACTGAGTGAAATAGTTTTTGTGACCGACATTTGGATAGGACGTCCTAAAGGTTGGTGCATTAGAATAAGCGAGGTTATAATTTGTCAAATTGTCTAAGGCGACTGTCACCGTCATGGTCAGGGAATAGAAGGCGAATTTACTTCAACAGAGATCATTTAGCGGCCACCTAACCTACGGCTTTGTGTACAAATTTTCCGGTAATCCGATGTCTGCAAATTTTTTAAACCTTTGTCTTTAAAAAGAGAACACTTAGAAGACGCAGACTCCGGGGAAAGATAAAATCCATCTACAACGAGACAGCCTTTGGACTTCTACACCAATACCGCCTCAGCGCTTTGAAGACGGAAATAGCAGGAAGATCCAGACTTTTATATCTTCACATTATTCATAGAAAAAAATTAATCAAGATCATTTTTGAAGACGGCAACACATCTGCTGAGTCTCCAATAAATACTTACGCCTTCACATTTCAAGCACAAAACTGTATAACTCAAAGTGTGCACAACGAATTGTGAAGCACGCAGCAGACTTTCGAAGGAAAAATGCGGATGAAATTACACTCAAATTCCTAACAAGTAGGAGATCCACGCAGACCAGTTCCATCCTCTTCGCCAGTGCAGGTTGTGCAACTTTCCGGTGTGGAGACTTCTCGGAAATTGTCATCGGTAATCAAAATCGCGATTGACCCGACGTGAGATGGCGTATCATTGGTACCAGCGAAGTGCGCTCAACTTAAAGAAAACTCCTTGCCATTTTGGGAGTTAAAACGGCGCCAACTCCTATTGTTTTCCATAATATTCCACTCTAACAGTGTGGACAATTGTTAGCAATGACGAAATAGGATAAAAGATTCTCAATTTGATTAAGAAAAGTCACAAAATTCCATGGAATAGCCTATGATGGTTGAAAATAATTTGGAATATTTTAGAATGCCGGGTGCAAAACACAAGAACTAATATTAATTGATAGCAGAAACTTGGCATAAGAAGCACTAATTGTACAGGTCCGACATTTGAAACGGAAAATGATCGTTTTAATGAACTGCGCCGGCAGATAACGGGGGCTGCCATAGAAACCAACTTACAACCCACCAATTTGAACCTTCGTTTGTTGCGGAAGTGAAGTCGCACTAGCATACATTACCGAAAACAATTTTTGAACATCTTTTAAACTACCAGCAGCGTTTAGTATGCAAGAATTTTAGCGCGATGTGTTAAACAATCGTCTTGCGACCCGCTTCCTCGACAAGGGCAGAGAGGAAGGGTTAAGCAACCACGGGTCTACCGAGATCAATTACCTAAAGTGACCCTTTTGAAAAATAGAAAGAGAGTAAGGGTAGTGGATCAAAGGCTTAATTATTAATGAATGCTGAGTGGGAAGAGGGGTCACTTTAACTGTCGTGTGACGACTCAAAAGCACAGAATGGTTCACATAAGTTAAATGCGTAGCGGAAAAGCAAATGAATCAGCGGTTGATTTGGAGCAGAAGTGGACTTTGTTGCCGCTTTTTATGCTGTTGCATGTACGGTTAGCCTGGATGAAACTAGATTATCAATAGGTAGAATTCAGGACAACGTGGAGGCCCTATGTGGGTGCACGGGCCTGATGGCTGGAGGGGAGACACCACCGGGGGCTGAGTCAGAGTCTACGCCTCAGTTCAGGTCACTCAACCGGCTTAGTCATGTGACCATTACTATGCTTTAAGGAGTAGGCGAGCGGTTTTCAGAATGTGCAAGATTTACCTCCAAAAAGAGAGGAGTCCTAGAAAGTCGAACAGGACCGTTTTTTCCCGGAATTTCTGCCACCTTCAGAGGCTTTGTTGCATTGACATTAATTCATGTTGACATACTTGACTGAATTTGCCCAACTTCAAGGCCGTGACAATCAAGCCATGTAATTTCGCACCACACACCGGAGAAAGGAAAAATAGGCACAATTTCGGGTATCCTCTTCCTGGATAAATTTGACGACACTTCTTACGTGGATATGCTGCACTAAATACTTTGAATTCTCATAGATGGAACAGTTGAATGCACTACCGCAGATCTTGAATAATTCCTGGAACCACTCAGGGTAAATTGTCACTTCCCACCCTGCGTTGTGAACTGGTAGCATTTTAAAGCCGGACAGAAGCCGTACCGCGAGGCATGGATTAAAGCTTTTGAGTTCGGGATCCTCTGACCCTCTGTGCCCCCCACCCCAAATTTCATCAGCGTATCTATTTTCGAGGGAATGCCATGCTAGGAACGCAAATTACCCACATATGAATGAGAAAGGGAAGAGTGATAAACTTTTGGCAGGATGGGACGACTGAGGTCGAGCACTGCTACCCGAAGCAAGCTGGCGAAACACTGACACAGATGATCGTGATAGAGATCCAACTCGAAGGTGAAATTGCAGATTTCCCCAACCTTCGTCCACACATTCAAAATAAAAGTAAGAATGTATTTCACATTTATTACACATTAGAGTGTGCGAAGTAGGCAGGAGACGAAAGACTTAGAAAGGTGGGAAGGGAGATGATGAGAAAATGCAGCCAAAATTTGCCGATGCCATTGTCTCAAAATCGACCAATGTCTACACCAGGCACATCACCCTCCACGCCGACATCGAAGCGGTCATGCTGATTTGGGCACAGACGCTCTAAAGAGCTTTGAACCGAGAAATACGTCTCTCCCCCTCCCTCTCCACTCTTTCCAGAAGCTGAAAGCCTTGTGAGATGATCCATTATCCTCACTTCCCCCTCTTCATTAGCACTGGCATCCGCGTCGTAAGCTCCGTCTTCCATATCTGCATTCAACGCTTTCTCCTCCTCCAACTCCTCCGTACCTGAAGAGCGCCTCGTCCTGGACATGGATGCATTCAGTGCTGCCTGGTGGTAGGTGATGAGGTAACTCCCTCGTGTAAGTCCGCCTCCCCTCCATCTGCGTCCCCTTCTATCACCCCTTCTTCCGCCCCTCCGGCATATCTCTCGATTTGCCAACAACACGACTCCAAAGAGGATAGCAAGGAAGGCGACTAATACTAGTGCCACCACTGGCAGTGCGTTCCAACTATCCACCTGGTCCGTGCTTGTCCGCACAGAAGTGGGAGAAGGTGCACCGCCGCAGCCACGAAGGCAGGCGTCCAGAGCGCCGTAATATAGGTGCCGCATTGTGCATAGATGACGGCAGTGTCTGAATGAATGAAGTTCTGGACACGGACCAGAGGAATGCTCGAGCCCTCCCAACTCATGGTTCCAGTAGGCGCACCACAGGGTGCGGTTAACTTTCAGACGAGTCAGTAAATTCTCCAGACTTCGAGCTGAGAGATCGGGAATGTTGTAGGCCTTGGTAGCACTATATTCAAGACTCCATGGGGCTTTGGTGTCGGGGCTAGTGCTGGAGAGGTCAGTGTAGAACTGGTAGAAGTCATGTAGATGGATAGAGGTTGATGTGATGGAGTAGTTGAAAACACGAACGCGTGGGTTGAAGGCACCCAAGTTCGTGAAATTCATTGGACTGATGGAAGGCATGTTAAATAGAGGTATCAGGGGAACGAACTTTGCTCCTTCTGTAGAAAAGAAAACAAGGTCAAAAGGGTCTTTGAAGAACAATAAAAACTGTGAAAGCAGCGATGATTCAATTTGAAATAAAGAATGGATTCGAGGCATACCCTCAGAAATGGAGGAAATGAAACGAAAGGAGTCCGTGTGCTGATGACCGAAAAGGCCAAAAGCGACCACATCGACGAATTCGGTGAAGATTTGGAGGAGACGCTGGTTGTAGATCTCGTAGAGGTGATGAAATTCCACGGGTGAATTCTCGGGTGCTCCCAGGGGAAAGTGCATTATGATTATGGCCTGTGATTTGAGGGATAGGAAGACAGCAAGCGACCATTACTACTTCTGCGTTGTGAGTAGATAAAGTGTCCATTTAGACAGTACAAAAATCGCGCAGTACCGCGTCATTCAGCCTACTCACTCACATTTCATCGCAATCAGGTAATCAAAAACCCGACTTAGAGATAAGAGAGTTACTCCTAATCATAAAAAATCTTGTCTACCACGTTTCAGCAGCGTTTTGCGTTGCGAAATCTCGCGATCTGGGGGGTTACACCTGTTTTTAAAAGCAGTAAGCACTGGGTTTAAATGACCATTCAAAGGAGTACCCACCTTTTGCCTCTCACGACGGGCAGATTGAAGCTGCTTGGTGAGCCATTGGAACTGGCCGAGGGGATCGGGAATGCTGGAATTGCTTCGTCTGTTTCGGGGAGTATAGAAGAGTCCGTTAAGGGAAATGATGCGTAGCGCTTTTCCCGTTTCACCGACTCGAAGACGAAGGGAGTAGAAACACCCTAAAATCCATAAGAGGGGCTCACAGAGAGCGAGAGAAAAGAAATAAGCTCTACTGGAATGATGCAAATAGTAAGACACTTGGAAGTAGTTTTCTACTTTACTAACTTCCATAAATTCACATTCTTTAACAAAATTGCCACAAAATCCAACGGGTCCACAAGCGCCACACGTTTTCAGTTTTGCCAGTATTTTGCAACGTGGCGGATCATTTGCTTGTTTCCAAAACAAAATTAGGAGGACTAAGGAATTACTTTTCGCTTTTAATTCCTGTAAAGCAAGATGAGACAACAAGAACGTGGAGCGAAACCCGTGTAAGCTGTCCGTAAGGTCATGGTGGTTGATAAAGTCCGTCGCAGCATGCACGTAAATAAACCCAAAAATTTGTACCTATTTTCCGAAGAACCCGGGAAGTTTATTTTAAGGAAAAACCGTAACAATTCCATCAAAAAAGAAAGCTCATTACTATTACAGGCTGTGAAGAGCACGCAGCTCCAGTAAAAAGGTAAATCGCAATTTATCCCGTCGCCGATTGTTACCATCGGTACAATGAATGCACGGACGGATTCAGAATAGGCGAATGGTCGGGACCAAAGCGGGCGGATGGATAAACAAAACCAAGGTGGATTGATAAATGAATGTTTGAATCAGAGAGGTCGAGGCGGATAGATTAAAGGTATGTAGGGTTGATAGACTACTAACCATCGTTAAATCCATCCACGTCGGCGTCGGAGGCATTCGCAATCCAATCGCCCCAAAGCGTCGAACTTGAACCAAGGCGGGTGCACCACCGCCGTCGGTCCGCGTCGTCCATCTCAACGGACATATCGTTGTCTGGAAAGACGTCATGATTGCCCAAGGTGACGATTACCGGAATGCTGCTACGTGGCTGTTGCTTCGAGCGCTCCGATGGAAAAACAGCCTTCAGAGCTGAAGCTACCGTCTCCATAGTGCGTTCAAAGTCATGTTGCGTAATGTTGCCATGGCTGACGGAGTCTCTAAACAAGTCAATCAGCACGCATAGATCAGTGTTCGGACATGAAAGCATTCTATTTAAAGCGCTGCCAAGATCTTAAGTGACCCCAAGTAGAGCAGCTTTAGCCCTAAACCATACATACAATAGATGTTCAGATGAAAAAACAGAAACCGATCTTCCATCTATTCAACTTCTTTCACACCTTTCCGCATTCACAGCTGCTTTCATCACACTACGAAACTCGATGTCATCCGCGTCAAATGTGGGTCGTTTTTAGGGTTACAATCGCCAGTCAATCAATCCGTTAGTCGAGGTGCCACATGTGGAATGACATTACCTTTGCAGAAAAATAGAACGCTGTTTAAACCAGCATACCTTCAAAATACTAGCTGTACCACTAATATAGGGAATGGCAACACAGAAAACCGAGTTCAGTTATTCATAAGCACCGGCGTGCTGCAAGTAACTACCACCATGTGAAGGGAATTGGCATTATGCACCCTTCACAAGCAAAGCTAGCAACAAAGAGTGCGTATATGCGTGAAGGCGCATGTATTCGCAAGTACACAGCAAGCGTGGTTGTAAAAATAGCACGAGAAAGGCTTTTCTTCCCTCAAGTAAAGGGCGTGCATTCGAAGTAGTCTTCAAGTTTGATTTGTATAACCGAACAAACATAAGAGTGAAACCAAGGTAATGAAATGATATGGTACAGCCAACACCTGGAAAATCAGACAGGGAACCATGAAATAATCACAGGACTTGTGCAACGAACAAATCTGACCAGTAGTGTGGGAGCTGAGCACTACTACACTCCCTCAAAAAGACTCCGAAGGACGCCCAAAATGACTTTGGAGTGGCGAACAGAAAGTATTAGGGCATGATTGGACTGTGTGGGGAACTTAGCCAGATTGTAATTACAGCTAACCCCTGTGGGAAATGTCGCCTTTTTGCTTGCATCAATCAGGACTTATCCCCAAATAACTCGGATGCAAAAACTCCACATTTTTCCGATTATATATAAATGGCATTACAAACACCTGCCATTTAGCTAACCACCAAGCAAACTGTTAATTTGAGACAAAGGTCAAACTTCCGACCAAGTAGCAGTGAGATTATGATAATAAGAAACAAATCCTGCACTTAAGATGATCGAACTTATCAGGTTACACTTCGTACAAGCATCCAATTGCCAAGTACTGACCCGGAGAAGACAACAAAGTCCGGTGTTGAGCTAAGCACTTGACGAGTGGCGTTTAGCGCTGAAAGCCACAAGCTGAGTGGCGAGTCGCAATTTGGGTCACCCAATGGTCCCTGACAGGCGTGTTTCTCGTAGTTCAAGTCCACATGGACGTCTGTGAGCTGCCAGAACAGACCTGTCAGTAAAAGAGTTGTGGTTAGAATAAATAAAAGTGCAAACCCCCCAAAATCGCCTCCGACTCGAGCTTTACCCAAAACTGCTTTATCGAATAGGCACAAGGTGAGCGTTTTGCTGAATCCCAGATCAAATATGAACAATTACTATTTGTGGGAAGTTATTGCCGATTATTCCTCAATTTCAAACAAAGGCTAACGCAGTTGTCAGTGGTGAGGATACAATGACTACAAGTACTACATCAAAATGTCAAAAAGCGTTCAAAGCAAACATGGTGTTGAAAAATAACCCAGTTTCTAAGAATTTCTCAGTGAACATCGCTTTAGAAATATTTTACCATTTTATATGCTCATTGCTAGTTTTTCCACGCCTTATTTTTGTCAAGGAGTGAGACAGAAGAATTGCTACTAGAAACGGAGGTAGGTAAGCCGTGCGAAACTGTTGACAGAGGGTAACATGAGTAACACTACTAGTATTAGCGCTGAAATTACGTAACTAAACTTGCCTTACTGAATTACTTGATGAATCTGTAACAAGGAAAACACAGCTATGTACTTCAGGCAAAAGATTTCAAACCTCGGGCTCTTCAAGGCAATTGCGTAATCAGTTCGGTCGTGCACGGGAAATCTAAAGTAAATTGCAACTGTACTGAACGAGTGTACGGGTGTAGTGACCTTAGGCCCAGTAGTTAGTCGACCTGTCAAAACACGCAAAGCACCCTGCCACTAAGCTAAATGGGCAATTCTTCGAAGGCCGAGAGTGAAATGAGGGGATTGCCAGTATGTGAGACAACTAAAGGATATGACAAGTGATTTCGTCCAATGTCAAAACTATTTGCTGTTTTTAGTGATCTAGGGATTGAAACTTGGGCAATCATGTAATTAAAACCAAAAAGGCGCAGGAGGGAATGTGGGAGAACTCAAGAGTAGATTACCCGCAGGAGTTTAAAAATAGAAGGCTGAGCGATAATAACACGCGCCTCATCTAGGAAATTTTAAAATATACAACCAGGCGACGGAATCTGGAAATCTTCAAAACAATTCAAAGTGTGTAACGACTTAGTCAAACGTAGGGACAAAATTGTCTAAGTTAGGCCAAACCATTACTAGTTCGAAAATATGGGGAGGCAAAACGCCACCAAGTAATAAACAAAAGGCATAATTAAGTGGGAACAGACCGGTATGAATATTATCGTCCGCCAATCCGAGGGGTAAGTAGCAGAGAAAAATAAGCAAACCGTGAGTGATGCCAGGCTCCATTTACAAGTGTCTTGTGAGTAAACTAGCAAAGGTTAAAAGAAATGACTCAAAAATGCGGAAAGGTTAGTTTGCAGGGTGGCATATGTCTGATTGGTCCAAGTGAAAAGTCGCATGCGGTGCGAGCTAATACAGTTGAAACTAAACTTAGCAAAAATTTAACCATCTTATTTCGTGCGAGTGATTTACCAGCTGAATCAAAACGCGAGATGCTGGACGAGATAAATATATAGTTTCTTAAACAACAACAAAGTGTACAAAAGTTATGGGTACCATGTAATGTTTTATTTTAAAACAAGCGTTTTTATGTTGTTCATGAGTCAAGAAACGTTAAAAGCCAATTTCTCTGCATTATAGGTATAACCACAGACTGCTAAATGCTGCTGCTATCTAAAAATATTTTGTGACAAAAAGGTATGACATAGCAGAAAAATTAAGTTAGAATTGATTACCGGAATTGCGCGTATTTTCATGCACTTCTTTGCCATAGAAAAGATATACTTGGCCACTTTAAGGTTTTCTTTTTAAAGTGTCTCATAACCGGGTTCCTTACAAATATTTTTTTCAAACAATTAACTTTTCTGGATTTTGTTTGTAACCAATGCTTTGTGCTCACAGTCCTTGAGTCGCTAGTTGAACTTGTCGTTCTTTTGCTATTTTACTTTTGATCCTTCTTCAAAGTTATTTGTAGTGTTCTCTTTCAGGTCTCTTACTATTGAGGCCTCGCCTCTTTTTTATTCATGTACTCGTGTTCTGCACTTGCGTTTGGTTAAATCCATTGCTACTTAAATTAATTTCTGATTAAGTGTTCTATGATGTGTCATAACTTTTTCATAGAGCCTTATTAACGTATTTGATAAACTTTGCTTCTAAATTTTACGCTTTTGTGCATGACCTACTTCGCAACTGAGTAATGATATAAATCTTCAGACAAATTCTACGTAATTACACCTACGTTTCGTCCCACTCATTGCTTTTAAGCATTCTTTGCGTATCTCTTTAGATGCGTTTTTACTGCTTTCTTGCTCTCTTAATAGCCATCTCTTTCAACAGAGGTAATGCCTCAATTCCATTTAATACTTTGACTCTAAAGTAAGGGTTTATGCTGACCAAGGGTCTGTGGTTGAACTCGACTCACAGTAAGTCGTCCCCCTTCATGCGCCTTCCCTAACTTACATCTCTTTAGTTCCTTCACCAAAGTCATTTCTTCTCCGGGAGGAGCTCTCGTGAAGGTAACCAGCATCATTGCTACCTCTATTCAATGAATAGTTTTACGCTCCGTGGTGTGGCTACTGCCGCCAATTTGAAGGGCCCTACTCGGAGGCGGCACACGCGCTATCTAAAGCCACTCCAAACCTTATTGTCGCAAGGATCGATGGCACTCGATTCCCCGCCGAAACTTCTTTCTCTGGCGTCAAGGGATACCCCACAGTCCTTCTGTAAATCAATTTGTGTACCTATCCACATTTCTTTTCTCTCGCTTGTTCGATTAATCACCAAGCGCTTCTGTCTTTCTTAGCTTCAAGGGCAATAAATCCTATGCATTCAGTGGTGAGCGTTCGGTCAAAGGTATTATTTCATTCGTGGAAAGCGTTATTGGGTAGGTTGTGGAATGGATTTCGTGATTTCGTTTTACTAACTTGAAGACCTCCTGTTGAACCGCTGGCAGATGAACGAGCATTGGAAAGGAAGGTGGAGGAACTCTTTGATGATGTCTTTTTCCTTCATCACGGGGGTAGATCTAGCGATTTGTGGGTATGTTTACTACTCTTTCATCATTTCTCATCGCCTAGAGTGCATTCAATGCTACGGCTGAAGAATATCGACTTCAGTTGCTTTTCTATCATCTCGATGAGGAAGCTCCAAATCATTCTGGGGAGGTTTTAGTTTACAAGGATGGGGACAGAAGACGCTTTCAACCACAGGAAGGTGGATGGCAATGGCACTGCGGACCTCCTCTTCTATACTCTAAAATAACCACTTCGTTTTTGGAAATTTTAGGTGATCTGGTGTCGCAATTAAGAAGCTTCATTGAGGAAAACCGTCAGCCGGCTTTTGGTCATCTTACTGCCCATGATCTCAGTCAGATGACAGGCGATCTCACTTCGATAGTCTGCGTCTTCTTAGTCGATTACATTTCAGATTCCATGAAAGCGTAGGTTTATTTAGTGATTGGGAGGAGGATTTTTATTGTTAATTTATTCATACATTTCTTTATTTTAGTTTCAAATACATCGGGAGAGATCTTGCTTTCAAAAACTCAGGGGACTCGTCAACTGTGTAAGTAGGTTTTAAGGTTGGAAAACATTATTAATTTGCATACTTTGGTTATGACTGGACCGTCAGTTATGAGCATTACCTCAAGAGCTTAACTTTAATAATTTGTACGACGGAGTCACATTTTAGGTCTAGTTAACATTAGTTGCGGTTAAATCCGCAGTTGGTGGCCCTACATATCTTTCAGTGCGGGTAAAATTACCTTGAAGATGAGATGCTACAGTCTACTTCTAACCTCGCCTCTAAATCACATTGGTTTCCCATTGGTGGATTTACAGTTTAGCTTCTTTGACAGAGTGTTGCTTAGAGTTCTCAGGCCTTGGTGATTTTATGAGCTCACATTTCCCATTGAATGAATGGTTGCTGTGGGCTGGGAATGGAACCACCTCGATTGCGGTCTCTACTAACTGTCAGTCATTTAAACGTTTAAGTGAGTTTTTCGCTACAGTGCCGTACCGTGCTTGAATTCCTCTTTTAATACGGAAATCGGCAGTTTTGGGCTTTCTGCCTTCGGTGAATTAAAATAATGTTCATCACTTATTGGTGGGTGTAGGCAATCATTGCAACCATTGTCAATTATCCTGGTTAACCGCATCAGGTTGTACTGGCGACTGTGGCACTGCTGTGATAGCATGAGTTTGTGTGAATGTGAAGTTTGACTTGAGTACCTATCGTTAATAAAAATGAATAAGGCAACAAACTAGAAACCAACACACCTCACCTTGTATCATAGAGCTGGTTAAATACTGAATAATTCTGATTGCATACCATCTTCACGCTTATCAGTCACTTCAAATTTGCGTGGTCAGTGGATACCCGCGGCCTTAGCAGTTTGGCCATGACGAGTTTGGAACCACCCAACCTCCTACTCTACTATCCGTTCAATCAGACCTTCATGCTGCATCCACTGTACTCCACCCCTGAGGCTATTTCTGCCCTCGATAAGCAACAAATTGTGACCTTCTTGGCAGATGGGGTCAACGGGAAACTTCCGGTAAGTTTTTTTGTCTCTCTGACAAATCTAAATATTCGCTGTCACAACAAGAAAGTTGGTGCTTCAATGGACATGGAATTTTTAGAGGAGTGGAGGAGATGGGAGGCTATAGGTACTGCCAGAAAGCCATGCCACTAAGGGGATACGAGAAGTCACACCTTGTAGCTGGTTGAGTTTCAAGATGACCTTTGAATTTTTGCGACGGAAAGATTTGTAAGTGCCACCCTAGGGCAGTCTACCTCACAATATCATTTGTGCTGCGATGCTGACCCCCTGAGCTACTCTTTTTTGCTGATCCGAGCAAGTCGAATGCACTCGGGGTGGGGCTTGAGTTGTAAGGAGAGCATGTCAGTACCTCTCAAGCAAATGCTTTGCTGCAGTGCCCTTGGAATCGAGTTCGATACCCTTGTTAACAGGAAACGGCTATCTTGATTAACAGTGCACCGCCTGGCCCTTGGCATGCGGATCAGCTGTGGGTGATGGGACCAACATCCCACAGTGTCAGTCCTTATCTGCTAAAAGTCCTAGTTTTGCTGGGAAGTTCCATATTTTAGTCCCAGACGATGTAGTTCGAGACTTTTTTCGAAATATCAAAGGATTAGGGTGTCGTAACCGAGTAAATTTATGCTACATCGAACTGGACGCATTTTTGGACACCCAAGCGGCCAGTCCACTGCGGTGGGTGGATGCCCAATGTCGCAGTCAGGTGAACAAAGGCGACTGAGATTGAACCTTCTCGTTCGGAGTAAACAACCCTCCTTCAAGTTCTATTTAGTTATCATT